GCACCAAACTGTCTCCAGAAGGTAAGTAGGGAGCGATAAAGGCGGTGAAACCGGAAGGACAACTGGAAGTTGGAGGAATGTAGACATCCACGATGGTTAGCGACGCCGGGCCAATGTCGAGGGAAGTTGCTAGTACTTCCGTAGGATCGGCACCAAGCGTGGGTAGCTGATAATGAGCAATGGATTTGTCCACCAGGAAGGTCAAACCTCCTCCTTTGCTGCGACCGCAGTCGCGGCAGACGACCGTATAGTCGGCACAGGAAGGGACCTTGGTGGAGTCAGTCCATTTTGTTTCTTGAATAGCCTCTATCGATCGGCCTACAGGTGGCGAAGCATACTGACAGGCAGTCAATCAATAATTTAAAATTCACGCTACAGTCAGCCGTTGAGTTACCAGCCAATTGTACCGGTGCATACGTCAGGAGAGAAGCTGATTAGCTCGATGGGCATCGTGTTAAGCGCGTTTGTTGTCTTAAACATGTTGTAACCATTACACTCAAAGACTTCGGCAGTTGCACACTTCTTGTCGTGTTCTTCCTTTGCGGACTCACACAAGGCGTTATTGGCGGTGATATCTCGGCCTGGGCTTCCGTTACAACAATATGTTACCGCTTGTCGGCAATAATATAGGTCTCCCCACGAGACAATAGATAAGATGCAGAATAAGGCCATACTTCGCTTCAGCAGAAAACGACTCACTGTGGTACCAGTTTTTGATTTCATTGGATTTATTTACGGTATATATAGAAGTGATAACATAATTAAGCACGCAAATAATGCATTTTTAACGGCACCGACGTTATAAATTGCACTTTAGAGTAGAGACAACTCCAAAGTTGCCAAAGTCATGGTCTTAGGATTTAAGTGTTTTCTTTTAGATACGAAACATCATAGATGCACAATTCTAACAGCCGGGTTGCGTATTAATGCATCCATAATTACTAAGGAGCTCAAAGCTTTTATTATTTAATTCCAGCGTTTGTTAGGAAAATATATTAACTCATTTCCTCTTCAGTATGGACTCTATCTTCACGAACTTGGACATGTCATTGGCTTGGCGCACGAGCAGTCTAGAGCAGATAGGGACAGTGTCCTGAATGTTAATTTGGAAAATGTCCCAGAATTCATTTGGGATTCGTATAGAAAGTGGGATCAGGCCGAAATAAACACCTACGACACGCCATACGATCTCCAGTCAGTAATGCAGTATGGACCTATGGTACGTTCAAACAGCCCCAAAAATACGCATATTCACTGGATTGCCCGGATGCACTTTTAAATATTGCTTTGGTTGAGAATGGAATTTAACTTCAGTTACTGCAATCGTAAGAACGTTGACATAACTTTCAGCCCATTCCCATCAACAGGAACGTAAAATTTGCGAAGACAAAGGTCCAGTATCAAAAAATTGGATCATTTGTTGCGCTGTAGGGTTCTTACCTATGTGTTCTCCAGTGGAGTAAAGTAGGTTCCCTACCTCAGGAAACGTCCACCGAAATTCTGAAACGTGTTTTCGATTTGGGTACGTTTGTCATGTCCATTACCGTGTAAACCAATCTGAAGATATTTCAACGACTGTGGGCCACCAGCTTTAGGGAAAGGTCATTTTTGACCGCCCGCAAAAAATATTCATTAAAACATGGCTAATTAAGTAGTGTACATTACTTTTATTTATTTTCTGTACTCTTGTAAATTCAAATATATTTTTTTAGAAAATATGCGCTCAAATAT